ATGCGCTTTTCATAACTTTCAGTGCAGAGGAATTTGTGTAATCACAGTAATGTTAACAACAACTAGCATGCTGACACACACTTCTTGATTCCACAACTGGATGGAGACAGTACACAGTGGACTTTTTTTTTTTCTTTTTTTTACCTCAAGAGCTGCATATGCAATATATCTGTACTAGGGCAACCCAAATTTAGCTTGAATATATGGGGAAAAGATCAGGGACCGGGCCTTTAAATTATGGCTATGATTAGAATTATGCTTTGACTAACTATATAAACATTAAATTTGTTTATAAAGCACATTTTCATGTTTTATAGTCCAAAGTACAGATTTTCTCATTACTATAAATAAAGCAAACACATAAATTGATTTGAAGAGATCTTAAGTGTCAGCACAAAATAAATACATGTATTAAATGCTGAGATGAGGATAAAAACAAAACTAAAGCAGTGGAGCGATGAGGAGTGTCTAATCTTAGCTTGTGTAATGAAGCTGGCCAGCCTGCAAAGATAGGACTTCGACTTGTTAAAATGCATGTTCATCGCTAAGAGCCTTGTTGGCCCTGACATAACTAGGACATAACTTTTCTTTGTCAAAACTGATAATCAATTCCCACCACAGGGATAAGCTGACATGAGACCCAAGTGGCCACACGCTGTCCCCACATGCTTCTGTATTAATAGCATCCAAAACACTCACCAGTCGGATATGAGTCAACCCAGAGCGGCCTCGTTCACAACATCGTAAACATGTAACAATGAAGCTCCAACCAGCTGCTTTGATGCTTGTTTGATGTTAATGACCCATAATGCATCACGCGCGGGAGTCTGCCTTCTCCTGCAAAATTACGCTAAAGATGAAAGTGGTCTAACTGTCCAAACTGCGTGACCTCTAAAGATTCAGTTGTCTCTAGAGCCTTGCCTATTGCGTCTGAGTGTATATATTTGTATGAGAGCAAAACCTGTGTATGGTACAGTGGCAGCAGGTGTCCCCCAGGGGGCGTCGGGATGAGCTGGGCGGCAGGATCGTTCCTCATCTGGATGGGACATTAATAAAGCAGGACCCGGGGAGAGCGCTCCATCTGGGACACAGGGCTGACTCCGAAAGTCTATAATCCCTCACCATAGTGCCACAGCGGCCCGTAGGCTCGCTTCACCAAAAAATACTAAATCAGAGTTCATTTTTACGTATTAAAAGCTCCTCCATCTACACATTCAATTTCAATCTCTTAATTATAGATGCCACTTAGATGAGTAATTATGCCATTATTTATTCTCTCCTTTGCCCTGTATCCTGGGGTGGTTTTGTCATTATTTCACTATCATGATTGCCTGGAATCCAGAATACACATTTTTCCAAGTTGTATCTCGCTGAGTTCAGATGGGCATGATGGGCAAGTGGACTAGCCAATCAGGGTCATGCATGGTCTGTCCATAGCTAAACAAACACAACTGCTAATGAGGACTAAAAAAACTAAATAAAATAAAAAAAATCACAGGAAACAAAAAAAAAAACATAGTGGATTTCTGTAACTCTGAGGGGAGATATGTTTAATTTGTGTTCTTAACGTACTGTATGTATGACCAATGAGCTTCTTCGTTTCACATGTCACTGAAATAAACTAATCTGATTGAGCAGTTCTGTCTGAATCTAGCTCGAAGCAAGGTGAAGAATGTGGTGACTAGATCAATATCCCTTGGTATAAAAATACATAACATCATTCTGCACATGCAACTATTACGCAGGATAATCATACAATGTTACAAATTATGGGACGATACTGGGAATCTATGTCATGATTATCATGCTAAAATAATTGCGATTAAAAATAATATCATGATAGTTATTTAAATTCATCATGTATAGTTTATAATTAACAAAATGTAGCACAAACCATTAAAATATTTGTATTTAATAACAATTTACCAGTTATGAAGAACAGTGACTGAATGGGATCTTGGCTAAACCAAAATTGTGGACCTATTCAATTAAAAGACTTCAATTTAAACTGAATTTTATGTCAGAGTAAATCTGAGCGGGAATCAAAGATAACTGATTTCCCAGCTAAACACTACATCTGTCCCCTGGCCTTCAAAACTAGGTTTTTATGTGAGTTGGGAGAAGTGGAAAGTGAAGTTCATTTTTTTGTTGCTTTGTCCTTTTTTTATGATGAATTTATATAAATCCTTTGTTTGATGAAATGTTCACCCAGTGTCCTGATCTGTTCTGATGTAATGATGATGACAAGATGTAATGCTTGTTTAATTCTAATATCTATAAGTTTTCATCATTTCTGTGTAAAGCCCGGAAAAAGAAGGAGATATGTTTGTTTAAATGAAGCGGCTGGGGATATTTGTATGCAAGACACTATAACAAAATAAACTGATTCATTCATTAAAGGTGTACTATGTCACTTTTGATTGGGGTTCCGTCACCTGGAATGTTCTGTGACACTGAATAGCTTTGCATATATTAAATTACATGTGTTTTTATAGCTCAAAAATACATAGAAAAGCAAGCAATCTGACTGTGACCTTTGTTGCCTTTCCACAGATCTGACCTGTAACTTGGTCTGGTTTGGTGTCCATGAAGATAGAAAGTTTTAATACCATACTGTAAAACATTCCAGACAAAGCAATAACATCTCCATGGAGAAAAGTTACACAAGGCACCTTTAAGTGATATTATAGTTTATTGTATCATCCCTAGTCACAAAAGAGAGAAAAGCAATTATCACATGATGTCTTCACATGTTGTAAATAGTCGCTATGTCATCCAACTGAAGCCCACTGACTTGAGATTTCCATTTTTATCAGCACTGCCTCCATAAGGGCTTGTTAATCAATACACTAACAGCTCCTGTGCATCGCTGCAGGAGACAGGCACAGAGCCATGACGTGTTAACCATGCCCACAAAAAGCCATTTAACAGGCATGCCGTCAGCCCTTCATTGGCAAGGCAAATGCAACATGTGTCTTCTGCTCTCGGATGCCTTGGTAGGGCAATAAAAATGATAATACGTTGACTGTTACATTTGCTTTTTTACGCAAATTCTTTCTCTGTCTAAATGTTTTCTGGGCTTTTCATGTTTTTTTTTTTTTTAAGTTCAAATTAGCTGTCTTTTCTGTTTTCATTAAATTAGCTCCTAATAATGCAACAATGCTCTTTGTTACAAGTTTTATCCAGGCCTGGGGCTAGAACCAAGGTAACAACTATTATTTTAGCGGTTAAAGTTTTTTGATTTTTTCACATCCAGCAACATTTCTCTGGGCCCAGTACAGATATGTTGTATAAGCAGCTCTTGAGGTCAGAATATGTCCGCTGTGTGCTGTCAGCATCTAACTATAAAGCATTTTATTGTCCAGTAATCAAGAAGTGTCTATTAGCATGCTAATTGTTGATAGTTTTACTGTTATCTTTAGTTTCAGGAATACTCTACTCCTGTTTTAGAGTTGTGAAAAGTATTTTATCATAGTATCACTCATCGGAGTGAATAATTAGGACACTCGGAAAGTTTGGATTACCAATCACACTCTTTTCTTTAGTCCTTCAGACACTGCCCAGTTTATCCGCTTTATTTGAAATGTGGTTGTGGGCAGAGTTTAGGTGTCTAGTCCCACTTTAAATTTAACGCCATTTTTATTTTTATTACAGCGTGAATTTCCATTTAGAGTCCATTTAACAAAAATTCTATTCTTAGTATGTTACCTTGGCTGGCACAGAGCCTATGTCATCCTGCAACCTCACCCAATTGTGGGCCAAAATTAATTCATTACTGATGGACAGAAAACTCACTCACTTGAAATTGATTCACTGATACTGTTTGAACTCTAAAGCACTGTCATTCCAATAGTCAGGCGTGTTCTATTGAGGTAATTACTGAGTCAGTCTTAGTCATCCTTAGTAAAATAATACACTCAATCTGTCTGGCTGTCTGCTTCTCTTTTCACCGTACAAAATGCTTGAGTTTTATTCAAGGTCGGAGTCTGCAAATGTTTCATTCAACAGCCGTATAAACCAGAGAACATCACTTTCTCCAACACAATATATCAAGGCCCGGAAATTCAGCTGTCGTGAACAAAAAAAAGGAAAAAAAAAAAAACTTGTTCTGACTTTCCGAGTCATTTTTCATCGAATCAGTACTTGGGTGTCATCCTTTTGGCTTATGTGTCTAATTTATATTCTGCTTCCTTTTTTGACTGTCAGCTGTGACTAACCAGGTCTCTGAAAAGCACTGAGCAGCCTGTCTGGCCCTTCATGTCCTGTCCGTGCTAATGAAGATATTTGGGTCTAATTCTGACTTTGATGTGAGCAGGAGGCGCAGGTGAGAGACTGTAAATGAGCTCGCTGAAACGCTGCCGTCTCTGTAGACTTGTGCAGCTCTCGGAAAACTCTTCTCTGCCCACTGAACTGGCTCCCCCTGATTGTCTTCTACAGTCAGGTAATTCAGGTGCACTGGCCCGAAGCTCCCACGACTGCTGTTTATTAGTTATTCATTTCCATCAGCTGTAGGTGCCACAGGCTATGTGCTACTTGCTCAGGTGTGCACAAGGCTGACTGAGTCCTCCCAACGGTTCCCCCCTGAGGCCAACAACTACAGCAAGGGGAAGTTCAATTCTATAGCAAATGCATTCTGGTGCAGTAAGATGTACTGAAGAACACTCAACTGGCAGAAAGATGCTTTACCAAAAGAAAAAAGTCTTTTTTTTTTTTGTTTTGTTTTGTTTTTTTCTCTATGTGTCACCATCAGCCAATCACAGCCCGGCTCACAGGCCTTTGTCAATTCTACCCACATCTTGTCACCTCCTGTGGCTGGATTATGAAAATACAATCTACTCTTTGAAAAGTCCTGTTTGTTTTTTCTTTTCCTTTTTCAGTACTGCCAGGTTAATCTTCAGTTCCATTATCATGATCATTATCATTATCATCAATATTTGTAAAGGTTTATTTATGTTTGCCTACAATACAAAGTCTTGCAGTAGTGTACAGTGTGTCCTTACCATCCACACAGGAGGGTTTGTTGCGTGTTGTCCCGGCCACTTTCCCAGGTAAACAGGAGCATTTGACCGTCTGTGAACGCTCCTCGATGCGGTTCTTGTTACAGCAGCGGTGAGCGGCGATCACCTCGCACGTGCCTCCCTCTGCCCACACACACACAGACACAAGGTTAGAGCTGGAGAGGTTCTCTGGCATGCAAAGCAGGTATGTAGAGAATGTTATTCAAATGAAATATAAACACAAGACGAGAATTCAACACAAGGACAATTATTATGGAGCTTCGCTCTGATCATTTACTAAGCACTTTGACTGTAAGTGTGTGTAACAAATTGGCCCTCAAGGAATCTCAATTATATGGTCTAATTGCCTCTCAAACTGGCTGTCCTCGCTCCATACCAATCAGCTGTCTGTCCACTTATGTTTGGTTATGACTGCTCCAGATATTTGTCTTTGATTGTGTGCATGGCAGCTGCATTTACTTAAACTACTATGGTTCCCTCAGAGCTTTACCGTCTGCGGCTGCAGTCCACCACTACATTAGCTCCAGAGCAAAGGTGACATCAGTCACAGCCAGTGCCGTACAATAGGTTCCATTCTGACAAAAGAGCGTGTCAAAAAAATTCAGGGAGAAGAAAAGGTGATATGCGCAGATGGTGGTAATGGGTCAAAATAACAATAGGTATGGAGCTCTGGGGAAGGGGAGGGGGGACAGAGCTGCGGGGCATCCTGCACGGAAAGGCAGAGCTAGAGGACAAGGTGTGTCTGCTGCCAGCGGCCGGCCGTGCCAGTGAGTAATGAGCGAGCCACTGGAAGTGCCCCCTTCACACAATTATAAAGAGTAGGGCTAATGCAGCCAGCGGAGCAGCAGCACAAAGACCCTCCATCACTGCTCCCCTCTCTCCTCACGCCTCAGGAAAAACTCTTTATCTTCTCCTGACAGCCACCGCAGCCCACAACAACGTCCAACAATTAAACTGGAGCTCATCCCAGGACAGAGCTGGAGATGGAGACAAGAGTACATCACAGGTTTTACATGCACTTCAAAACGCAACTACTGAAACATGCCAGACCTATTAGTGCCTCCATCCATCTCGGTGTGCCTTGATGAGGACAATATCACGGCAGAGTTGCTCTAGGACAGCTGCTTAGTTTGAATGAAATGCTATAGCACAATGCATTACGCCGCAGCTAAGTTTTCGGCAGCATAGACGAGTTTGGCAACAGTTTTCTTCTCTCTTTCCCATCAGTGTATGTGGCAGCCAGACCAAAGGCCACAGAGTCCTGGATTAAAAGGCAAACATTTGCAGTCCTGCTGGACTGTGCTGTCGAGTGGTATTAATGTCACTCTCTCACTGCCTGTTGTGAGATTTCCCTCAGCACAATACTATAACTATAAAAGACTACACAAGTGGGGAGAGATCTCTAGAGTGGGCTTAAGCCCCAAACCCCACCAAGTGTTGCTCTCTGAATATTTCACAAAGCTCCTCCTGACCTACAGACTGGCTTTCAAGTCTAGGCGATCTCTGATGTGCAAACTTTACTCGAAGTTACTAAATAATGAAAGAGGTGCTCTATCAGTTTACTCCTGCAGAAGTTTTAGAAAGGGCACATTCACATTTGCAAGCACAACACATCAAAATTAGGAAAACAATTAGAGTTAACCCACAACTAAATCAGGACTAGAACATTACTAAAGCGAGTCTGGGCCAAACCAAAAAAGTGTTAGCACAGAAAATAGAAATCACTCTGGACTGTTATAGCTACACATTTTTAAGATTCCTAAAAGATTAATCAATTTGTAAAATAATTGTTAGTTGCAGTCCTAGTTACAATCATACTGGTTTGGTGACGAGTTCAGGAGCAGGCCAGTCCTGTGATCGGTGTCTGTGGGCTGAGCTGTGGTGATCAGCAGCACACTTAGGCTGACTGCACTATTACTATTAGAGCCAGACATGATGACTCTGAACCATCTGGAAAGAGCGCGGAAGTGTGGTGTGAATGACTGAAGGCAGACACGTAAATAGCCACTTGGACCTTGACTGCCATTTCACCCGGATAAAGTGAAAAATATCCCTGACAGATTAAAGGGTAGCATATATGTTTGTAACTATTAATTATTTTCTACCTTAAAGGTCTATATTACTCAAAACTATCTATATTATGTTTCCTCATCAAAGTTCTTGAGTTCTTCCCTAAAACAAAAAACATTCTGTTCCACCTCCACTTTGTTTTTAAATTGTTTTATTAGTCTGTCTACATCTCCAAAGCTCAAAATGCTCTTTTCTATCTTGTGATGTCATGAAGCCAAGTTCACATAACTTCTATTACCACATGACATCACAAGGTAGAAATTAGTGTTTCTTTTTGAGAGAACCCAAACCCTAAATAAGCAGGATTTGTTTGTTAAAAATGTGTGAATGAAACAAAATACAACTCCAGGTATATTTGTGATGAGGAAACAACATTGTCGCATAGATCACAAAATAGCGCAAAATAGGATCTTTAATGAACTGTATCTGAGTGTGCATTGATGCGTGGTATTGTGTTGCGGGGGCTTGAGACGGAGTATAGGTGGTGATGGATGCAGTGCTCCGAGTTTGTCAGGCTGCTAAAGGGGTTAAACCAAGCCGATAAGATGGAGTGGGTGGTTGTGTACTCCAGCCTTTAGTGAGGGGAGGTGAAGGGCATCCGAGGGACCACTGGCTGGCCATTTTTCTTTCAGTGGCCCACAGTGACAGCAGCCATTAACTGACTGGATGAGGTGATTATGTTTAAGAAAATCGATGCTTCATTGTTTTCAGCTTAGCCCAACGGCCAATTAGAGACTGCTAATGAGCGAGAAATCGGAGAAATGCGAGAAAATGAGGAGTGGTGTAGAGTTATTGCCATATGAAGTGTCCCTTATAACACAACTGAGCTCTTTGATGGCTTTTATCTGTCGAAACCAAGGTCATATACTGATACGTTTTAGTTTACAGTGTGGTATCTAAAGACTGGAAGAAAGTAGGAGTGAATGAGACTATACTTCTTATCTTATCACACCAAAATGCTCTTGATAGTTGAGAGTAGCACTGATTGCAGTCTACGAAGCCAATCACAACACAATCAGGCTGCACGTTTGGTGAGTTGCTGGAATTCACATTTTAAGGACTTAGTATCAGTCAACCTATTGTAAAATCTACTACATGATGTTATTTCACATGAACCAAGGATATAAACTGAATCTTTTAAAGAATGTTGGTCAAGACATACTTTGCTCTATCCACACATTCACTGTAAATGAACAACAAATCATGAACAAATGTCAACAAACTGAATACTCTTACAGCTGTATTTCAACACTTCAGTGCAAAGAGATAACTGCTGAAAATGTGTCTATTCTGCTCGTTTATGAGTTTCTGGTGAAAAAAAGGGATGTTGGTGAGTTTTTAGTAAATTTAAATGACATAATTTAATGAAAAAGAACAAAATTAGCCATGTATATCTGCCCAAAAATACCTGTAAAGTTTATCAGGCATCGGTTGCTCTCGATCATAAACATTAGCCATGAAAAAAACAAATATTGGTCAATCTCTAAAATAAATAATGGCATATTCTCCTAAAATAATTCCCAAAATATAAAATATGTTTACTGGTCCTTAAGTTTTACAATGTACAATGCAACCAATCAAGTCCATGCCTATTTTCATCATTCAAAATGCAATCAAAATAAGCATTAATATTTAATACATGTGTGACTGTATGCAGTAGTCTGAAGTACTGTTCTGAATGCACTCTCAATTAAATTAAATAAGTAAATATGCATGAAAAACTGTAACGAGCTTTGAAGTAAGTGAAGTAATAGTAAAATGATTTTCTATCTTCATAAGTTTACTCACATTTGTATTTTGATTAGGCCATTCAGTCATGAATAGTATAACTTACATATGTTATAGTTCAATGGAAAAAAAAAAAAAAAGAAAAGAAAATGAAATGAAAAGCTGTCATTGTGTCCTTGAGCAAGACAATGAACCCACCTCGACCCTAGTGTCTGCATGCACTGATGTATGCATCTAAGTGTGAATGGGTGAGTAGTTGCTTGATGTAAAGCGCTTTGAGTTCCTTGAAGGTGAAAAAGTGCTATATAAAAATGTGACTATTTGCCATTTATAGGTACTCACTCCTTTTTGCTGTTGTCCCATATAAATCCTTCTAAATCTATCTAAATAAAAGTCACCTAATAAAAAGTTTAGTCAGCTAAGACACCCTCAACTGATTAATCGACCAAATGACTAAAGACCTACAGCCCAAATGTGTTTTATCAGCAGATCATTACATTTATTTCCATGTACACATTTTGTTTGTGAACTGCAAAAATGTATAACAATGTGCATCATTTTCTTTCTGTCTGTATCCACTGACACATTCCTGGCCTTGAGAGTAAATCGTCCACTAGGGCTCGAGTTGTGGCCACTTATTCTCACTGTGAAAAGCTCTCCTCCAAGTGAAGCCGATGAATAATAAAAGGTAGCCTGCAGCAGGATGGATAGCAGCAGACTCCACACTCAAACACATTTAAAGAAGCGGGACCAATGCCAGCACTGGGAGTTTTTATGTTGTGCTATACATCTCAGCCCATAATAAGCCGGTTAATCGAGGCTATTGTTAACCCTTGTTTATCTGATCCTGTGAACTTTGACCCCCATGTGATTTGGTCAGTGGAGTTCACCATTCATCACATCGGCGGTCCGTGTAGCATTGAACCGTATGTTTTGGGTGACCTCTTCCAGGGCTGCAGGCTGCTTTCAGACTGACCCGATAACATGGATGCGTCTCACTTTCTCTCCCGAGGCAGTAAAGTAAATGGAGTAGATAAATATGTACGCAACGGCCACAGCTAGGGCCCCCAAGCTAACCAAGGAAATGTGAACAAGGGAAGAGTGTCCACACCAGAACCCAGCGCTGACTCAGAATCCACTGACCCAGACTTACATGAGTCAGATTAGTCAATGTTGTTTTTCTTCTCAGCTGTGGATGTTTAGTTCTGGTTCACACTTACACTGGCCCTTGATTACAAATTATAAATAAAGTATGGCGTTATGAATCAGCCGGGAAACACAATGCAGCATGGACTTCACTAATCATGCCAAAAAGTGGGACTTGT